TCTGAAGAATTTGATTGAAGCTCTTATGGAATCAAAGGAGAAAGCAAGAAAGAAGGCCGAGGAAGAAGCACGGCTGAAGGAAGAGAAAGAAAAGGAGGAACAGTGTGCTGAAGAAAAAGTTGGAGAAGGTGCAACCACAAGGTCCACAATCAAAGGGGTGAAAGAGAATGGCTTCATTCATTAAGCAACTGTGTGTAGACTGTGACAGCACTGTATATCGTTGTTGTTGCTCATATTTCTCGTTGATTCCCTAGATTGTTGGGTGGCAATTATCCAGATTGGACATATGTAAATAGGTGTGCTATTTTAGGTTTGCTTATATTATATTGTGCATATGTAAATAGGTGTGCCATGTGTAAGCCCTGTTTATAGAAATAAAATGGTTAAGCCATCAGTTTGCATTTCTCACTTTGATCATTTTTCCTTATGCAAGATTGGCTCTAATATGCAAGTTAACTAGTGGTAATCTCCGTCCAAGAACAAAGAAAAAATATTGGTTCTAATGCTATACTTTTCAACTTGACAGCAGATTTGTTTGCTAGTTGCAACTCCCATTTAGGTAAAGATAACTTTAATTTCAATTTCCATTTTGTTTTAAAGATTTGATCTTAATAAGCTAGATAGAAAACATGGTTAGAAAACATGTTTCTGGAACAAAAAAAGGAGAAAAATGGGTTCTTTGGGATTCCTAAGACTTTTGGCACCCGTGTCCTGAATCTTAGTACAAGTTTTCAGTCTTCCCTTCCGTGTGTTTTGTTATCATGGTAAAGGAAACGCAGCTTTGCTGATTCTTCAAGGGCCTACCAATTATGCAAATTCCAGCCTTCAGCATGCGGAGAAAAAGAAAACAAATAGTTGGAATTTTGCTTCAAGAAATTGAGGAAATTGCAACAAACCTGTCATTATCAATATCTGGCTTCACCCTACAGTCAAAAAAGCCAGCTGCATTTTCTTCACGCATGGTCTCCTATTATGATGTCAACATATTAATGTCATGTTGTTTTGATACAAGAAAACTTTGTTAATGGAGAACATCACAAACTAATGAATAACTTTGTTAAATCTATAAACTTTCAAAATTACCTGATATTTTAACTAGCTTCAACTGTATCAGTTAAGAATTTATATAGTTATTTATTGAATTCAGATCAGTGATATCTGCCTCATAAGTATTTGGCTTTAATGTTATCAACCAAAATTTTCTTTTGGTTTCTATTTAAGTATATTGTTTCCTTGTGAATGTGAAGAACAAGAGTCCCCACGTGGAAGACCTTAAGTACCTTAAGTCGCCCTTCCTTACGGTTTTTTTATAAATTATTTTATTTATAGGAAGCCATGTAGAAATTCAGCATACATACGTATACGGTAATAACAATAGCGTAACATGCAAGTCACAAGACCCTGACTTCCTTGTATATAAAACGGTCCAAAAAGTTCAGAAAGACACACCATCTAGCAATTTGCATAACAAAATTCTGAATTCCAAAAAGGGTTGAGAAGATGATGGCAATTGGTGAAATGTGGAGCTATCTTGGCTCAGCTACTGCAAGTTTCATGTTCATCTATGCCATCACTCAACAATACTTCCCTCTTCACTTCAAAAACTATATTGAAACATATGTTCAGATGTTTGTGAGTTTTGTATATCCTTACATTCAAATTACCTTTGATGAATTCACAGGTGAGCGGATGAAGTGCAGTGAAGCCTTCTCTGCAGTACGAATCTATCTCAAGGACAAGTCCTCTGCGTCTGCTAAGAGGCTTAAGGCTGACGTTGTCAAAGATAGCCAGTCTGTAGTCCTTAGCATGGATTACAATGAGCAGGTCACTGAGGAGTTTCAAGGGGTGAAGATTTGGTGGACTTCGAGCAAAACTAGTCCTTCCAAGCAAATTTCACTTTCAATCTATCCTTCTTCGGATGAGAGGAGGCATTACCAGCTTAAATTCCATAAACGTCACCGGAAACTCATCACTGAATCTTATATCAGTCATGTGTTGGAAGAAGGGAAGACAATTGCAGCAAGGAATCGGCAGCGGAAGCTCTACACCAACAATCCTAGTGATAAATGGTACGGATACAAAAGGCGCAAATGGAGTGAAGTAGATTTTGAACATCCCTCAAGTTTTGATACTTTGGCAATGGAGACAAAGAAGAAAGAACAAATCAAGAAGGACCTGATCGCGTTTAGCAAGGGGAAGGGGTACTACGTTAAGATTGGGAAGGCTTGGAAGCGTGGATATCTCCTTTATGGTCCTCCAGGAACAGGGAAATCTTCCATGATTGCTGCCATGGCAAATCTTTTGAATTATGATGTCTATGATCTTGAACTTACAACAATAAAGGATAACACAGAGTTGAAGAGGCTTTTGATTGACACATCAAATAAGTCAATCATAGTGATTGAGGACATTGATTGTTCTCTTGATCTTACTGGCCAAAGAGAGAAGAAG